TGATTAAAAATACATTTCATCTTTCATTCCTTTATTGGCAATGCTTTCATTACAAACAATATTTTTCCACAAATATGTTCCAACTCAGTTTTTTAGCTACTCAATTGTTCAACTATTTAGAGGTTTTGAATGGTAAAAAAGCTGACAGCATTTTTTCTGCCAGTTTTTCTTCTTAATCACTAAACATGTATATTTTAAGAGAAATTTAATCCAGTTCCTTCTGGTTTGCTTGCATTTAAATCATTAAAATGTTTTTAAGCCATTTGTTGTCCAAAAGACTTTTAAATTAGCTTTTTTACTTAAAAATCCAAATTGGCCATAAGAACATGAGTTCTAATGCCAAAAGTTTCGGGTTTGGAACAGAAGTCTAAGGCCTAAGTTGGAAATCTGTTTTAAATGTCTGCAATGACACAAAGGACTGTGTGACTCCTTCCCTGACCCTCTGAGCCTTTTTGCAGAAGCACATATTATGGTGGAGGTTACCAAAAGGCCTTTGAAATAAATCCTCCATTCAGTAGTCAATCCAAGCTTCTGTAAAATTCTAATTTATGGCTTTAATTATCTGATGGTCTGGGTTATCTCTTAGGATTTCCCCTCCACACTAAGAAGAAAATGTTTTCAACTAAATTTTAATTCATAATAAAAGTGTGATCATTCTCTCAATGCAACTGAGTCAGAATCAACTCATCGCTCCATTGGGTTTCCAAGGTGTAAATCAGAGGGGAAGAGAGATTATCTGTTTTTTTCTCCCCAATTTGAGCAGCCAATTGGCACAAATTTTTGGTTAGCAGCACAATTCTCTAGCAACTATGTCTCCTGAGTTCCCAAAAATGCATTTTCGTTTGTTGATTTTATCACCTTCCTTCAAAACTAAGTCTCTTCAGTGAAGATAGAATGAGGGTTCCTTGAGTAGTATCATGAGTTAAGATTATTTCACCTCAGACTATTGTAGTTGATAGGTGCCATCAAGACAATAACTCATAGATAATCCATCTATAAAAAAGCAGAACCTTGCCCTATCCTGCATTATTCTTACACTATCCACAATATATCAAGCCCATTGTTTCAGTAACTGTGTCAATCTATCTCTTTGAGGGCCTTCTTCTTTTTCATTAAACTTCTATTTTTCAAAACACAATGCCTTTTTTAAGGACTTGCATCTCCTGACAATATGCCCAAAGATGATGTTTCATCATCCCTGCTTCTAAGGAGCATACTGGTTGCACTTCCTTCAAGAAGTATTTGTTCACTTAACATAGGATATCCAATACTCTTTGCCAAAACCTTAATTCAGAAGCATCAATTCTTCTTCAGCCTTTCTTATTTATTGTTCAACATTCACCAATATACAAAGAAATTTAAAACATCCTGACTCTAGTGTGTCAGAGATGGTGAGGATGGCACAGGATAGGGTAGGGTTCAGGCTGTCAGTTCATATGGCCTCTACAAGTTATACCCAACTTGACGGTGCCTAACAACAAGGTCAGATGAACCTTAGTCTTCAAAAGGACATCTGCTCTTTAGTACTTTAGAGAGAACCATGAGAGCAGATTTTCTGAAGGAAACACCTTTTGATTTCTTAACTTCTGCAACCATGGATGTTGATTATGGATTCAAATAAATTGAAAGTGTTAACAACTTCAATCTTTTCTCTATCAATCATGATGTTGTCTGGTGGTTCAGTGGTGAAGATTTTTGTTTTCTTGATGTTGATATGTAATACATATTTAAGACTACTACTGTCTTGGATCTTGCATCTTCAGTAAGTGCTTTGTGTCTGTAAGCAGAGCTAGATGATTCTCAATTTAAGAATAGGTTTCACATGAGCACATTTAAGCGTTCTGGAATTCTCATTTTTCTCAGTGCTATCCAGATTAACTAATTAGCTAATGTTATGACTCATACAGTCATATGCGTTCTTATATTCAATAAAATACAAGTAAACTTATTTTTTACGTATTTTTATTGGTTTGCATATAATTATTTATATACATTGTGTTTTATTCATGCACTATGTATTTTATATAATCTTTCTTCTACATTATGTTTCATTCATGTACATTTTATTTTACAAAACCACTCATATACATTGTATTTTATATAGTTATTTATTATTATCTATGCCTATAATCATCATCTTGTTTTATCAACTCCCCGCTAAATCTTTCCTATTCTTTCATTTCCCTTTCACCCACTAACTACTGCTATTGTGGTTGTTGTTATGAACCAGTAAGTTAGAACTAACTCATAGCTGACCCTCCAGGGGGTTTTCAGAGGTAGTAAATTGCATGAGAGGAGATTGTCCATCTTTCTCCTGCAGAGCATCTGGCAATTTTTAGCCACATGCCTTCTGCCTGGCAGCTTAACTACTTAACATTTACCCCCTATCCTTTTTTCCAGTCCCATCTCCCTTTATCCTTCCTCTTTTGCAAATTTATATACATCTTGCTCAGTTACACTTCAGTTTTCACAATCATGGCCTTATACAGTGTTTAGTCTTAGGAGACTGTGTTATTTCACCCAGCATAATACTCTTTAGATTCTCTCAAGTTATATAGTGTTCCGTGAAATCATCATTTCTTAGTGCTGCACAGTATTCCATTGTGTGAATTTATCACAATTTCTCAATCCATTCGCTTGTTGATGAACATTTGGGCTGCTTTCATTTTCTTCCTATTAGGAATAACATAATGAACATTTTTTCGTCCTTGGTGATTGCCATCAAATCGAGCATGACTCATAGCAATCCTATGAACAAAAGGCCTAAAGTCTTTCTATAACTATTGTCATTTATCAGAATTCATAGTTTCCAGAGGCATGTTGTTTAGGAAGGGATGTCACTTCTGCTTATTACGAACATAGGTGAACATATCTCTGTTCATATCTCAGTTCTAATATCTTTGGGACATTGCTGGTAGTTCCAGCACAACTCTGTTGCTTTGTCACAAGTCAAGAGAAAATATACACTTCGAAATACAAAATGAAGTCTCAAACTATCATAGAGCACTAAGGGAACAGAAGGGAGGGGGACAGAATCCTGAAGAAAACTTTCTTCTTTACTTACTGGTTGCAAGAAAAAAATAATAATTCACTTCCTTCTGCACAGGTTCCTCTGTCTTCCCAATGAAAAAAATGAATTTTATCCACTTATTTATTACATTTTTTGCTTTTAAAGGGACATTTAACACATATTCCCCTAATTTCATCTTTAGAGAAATTAATCTTTAAATATATTTCTATGTGTTCTGATGAGAAATAAATGAAAGCAACAGTTCTAAAACATATCAAATGTTTTAAAACAACTTTATCCCATAAAATATAGACAATGGAAACAGTGTAAAGAAGTAATAGATGAAGAAGGAAATCCACAGGAACAGACTGAAGACAGTTGGGGAAAGCATATACCAATTTCAGAAGATTTTTTCTTCTTTTTGGAAAAATCAAATAAAAATATCAAAGGGTTATTTTTATTTTTGGCAAAATAAGTAAAAAGTTAAAACACACCAAATATCACCCATTGACCAGCATTTAACAAGTATACTTCCAGATTCTCAATTTAAAATATTTGTTATATACTTAACCTACTTTTATACACAAATCTCTCACTTCTAATGAGTATTACAAAACCCACAAAACTATTCTCTATCACATTATAGTAATCTATCAGTCCACTAAATCAGTGCATTATACTACCAGCCTCTTAAATCATTGTTCACTAAATATTAGTTTATGTATCATTATTTTATTTGAGGCTCTTTGGTAATTACATCTTAATTAATTACTGTCAAAATGGTACTAAAAGGGTGCTCTACTCCATGGGAGAAAGATAAGACAATCTCCTCCCATGCGATCTGCAGCTTCTAAAAACCTACTAAAAGGTTTATTAATTAATTCTGATTTGATGGCACATAACAACAACTGGTGGTGTAGTCTCTAGAGTTGAGCTGCTAATTCAAAAATCATGCTTCTCTGACAGTTTAAGTGTACCAGTCATTCTACAGGAGAAAGTTGAGTCTCCTCCTACGTGATTTAAAGCCTTGGAAACCTGCTGCCTGGTCAGCTCAATAGCATAAGAGAGAGAGGAGTGGTACTAAGCAGAAAAGATGTAAAAACTTGTCTAATAATTCCATAATAGCTTTACTTAGAACTTTTTATAATTCATTAATCTTATGTTTACTCTTAGATATTCCCATAATTTGAAGATAATTCATCATTTTTTTAATTTTTGCATAAATTTATGACCTTCAATATAAATTATACATTATATAGAGAGATATTAATAATATCATAAAGTAATAAAGATAGTTTTATCAAGTACTTACTAACCTATTTTCATAGCTCAGCACTGACATTTGTAGAGTGACAATTAATCTAGCATTCAATAAAGAAACTTTCTGTCATATGTGTCATTTTTAAAGATAGTCAGGCCATAGAAGTAAGTCTTTTAGTTTATGTATCTACTATGAGATGGAAGATTTCATAGTCTAAAAAAAAGGATAATTATGTATTCTGGAACAAAGAGATAGAATAGTGGAGGGTATAGTCCAAAGTTAGTTTTATAAAATACAAGGTTTGGGAGTGAATATATGAAACACAACGTCAATTAAGGAAAGTATGAAATACATGTGTATAAATTTTGCATGCAAACCAACACAAAATAATTTTTTTTAAAAAATGATATTTAAACTGCTTTAGAAAACACTTAGGTGGTCAGCAATATATTTCATCATTTATAATTTAATATCATGGCCCATATTTTTAAGGCATTCTGAGAAATAAATTTGAAAAATCCTATAATTTTTAAAAAATTATTGTCATTTCAGTGTAGATATATTTGATTATACATTCATAACACACATTCAGCTGAGTAACAAGATATAAAATCACTGGTAAAAATACAGACAGGTCAATGGAAATAGGTCTCAGCTATATTGCCTGCTTCACTTAAATTTATAACATGTTCCTGAAAGTAAATTCTAGAATTTTTTTGTAATTCTCAGGTTTGTTTAGACTTCATGTCTTTGCTGAAATGCACAGAATTCATCTATTGTGTTTGTATGGTATTCAATAAATCCCGCTCAACATTTGGCATAGCTCACCTCCCCCTATCTTTAATCAGGCAGTAATCCCTTTCCTCAGAGGTGCTGCATCATTCTGACAATCATGGCACTGGTGTAATTTCCTTTGCCAACATGACAGAACAAGGAACATTGTGCTCTGCCTCCTGAGCACCAGTCCAGTGAGACCATGAGCTCAGCTCTCTTAAGGAAGAAGGCCATTGTGAGAAAATAAAAAGCTCTATATAATAATGTTTAAGGTTCATCTATTCTATATAAATGGTAATCCTAAACATCTCATTTATGGGAAAAAATAAAAACTAATATAATAGAATAAATAATTATCTTCCTTACCATTTGATTTATCTGAACAAATCATAGATCTAGGAAATCTTGTATGGTTCTCCAAATCAAAATAACAATGACAACCCCTAAAAAACTCAGAAAATACCTATTTATCAGAAATCAGGTTAAGAAAAACATGCAAGATTTTTTTTCTCCTGGATATAAGTACAACAAGAATAATACTGGTTAGCAACAGTCAACTTGGCTAAATTGTACAGTGGCCTCCAGTTTGGATAGAATTAAGTTTATAATGTACGACAGGAGCAAAGTTGTAATATACAATTATATAATTTACTTGAATAGTTGCTTTCCATATGGGAAGTAACAGATTGGTCAGTTGCATTTTAGCTAAAATTAAACCTACCATCATTCAGGGCAAAAACAATTTTGTTGAAATCTGGAAACCCTGCAGAAAGCATCTCTAAATTTCTCTGATGATTCTTGACATTGCTTTCTTCCTTTTTATAGGAACAGTATATAATAGTATTCTTCTGAATTATCCTCATTTAGCACATATTCTTTTTTTTTCACATAAGTGTAGGACACTTAACTGTGTCCTACAGATTTTACAGATGAGACAATCTTTGAGGACTTTCAGCCAGACTCTGAACATGAAAACAAGAAAATACAATTCAGAGATGAAGAAGGAATGGAAACTAAAACTGCCTGTATATCTCCTTCTAAACAATTAAAATTACAAAGTAAACCTACTTTGAAGGAAATGGGTCTTTTTCTCACTTATTTTACAATACCAGGAACTATATCTCAGTTGAATACTAAAGTAGAACTCCTACATATTTAATACGATCCCCTCCTGGTTATGTTACACTCCAGGCAAAATATTTTATGGAGTGTGGAACATTCTTATCCATGACCTTAACATCTTAAAACAGGGTGATGGATAAGCAATGTATTTTCTATCATTAATACATATATAATCTGGATGCGAGACTATTTCTTCAAAGTTTGCAATACTTACAATATCCAGTAAAAATCTATCATTACTACACTTTGAAAGAGTCTTGAAATTGCAACTATCTATGGCCAAATATCATTTTCTAAAATCTGTCCTCCTGTGCATGGATTTATGAGTCCCAAGCCTGAGCAAAGGGAAATTGTCCAAGGCAAAGTTGTCCAAATAGGCAATTATCCAACAGAGTGAAGCCAAGACAATCCTCTGGAGGTAATTGCACAGGTTCAACTGCAGCTGTGTGAGAAGAATGGACACCAATCAGCTCTCTGAAGATTTTGGATGTCTCCAGGAAGAACAAACTGGGAAAGCTTTTTTAAGTTCTAGATGTTGGTTTATGTTTAAAAGAAATAAAGGGAGAAGAGAGGTTAGAAGCATCTGCATAGCTATAATATTTTTACTTTTAAATAATACTACACTACAATATAATAAACTATTTGGTGGCTCTAGAGATTCAGAGAGTAAACTAAAAAGAAGAAACAATGATTGGAAACACAAAGTTCCAATACTGAACCCTTCAAAGCAACGCCTGCAGAGAATAGTTCTTATTATATCTGTGTGAACTAGCTGCATATATGTAATTGTATTTGCTCCTTTGGACAGGCCATGAAGTAAGTAAGGAAGCTATTATGATGAGGAAATTAAAACTCAGAAAAACTGGGACTTATTCAAAACCCATTTAGTAAGTAAAGGGAAAGGATTCAAACCAGGTGTTTGAGAATCAGCAATCTTTCCACACATGCCTTTTAGGGCAAGTTCTATGTGTAGAATGGTAACCAGTCCTGTCTAATTAGAAATATAAAATTCAATCTTTTCTTCTCTCTGTCACTATTAGTAAGTACCACCATCACATTAAAAAAATGAAAGAAAGAAAAATCCTTCCTTAGCAATAAGTTAGCATTTTCCACTTGTCAAGTCTTACTGTATGACCACGATACTCTTGGCAGCCTTTAACATGTTGATATTCTTTGGTATTAATTACTTATTTTTATCATATATCTTCTTTAAAACCTTAGAACACAAGAAACATAATTTTGCTTATCTAATTTCGTTTATAGGGTCATTAAGAGTCGTCTACAACTCACGACATTTAACACCAACAACAACAACCTAGAGAGAACTCTGTTGGCCTGGTGGATAGAAAGTGATACTCCCAAGGCAAAGGTGGGTGATTTTAATCTGTGGCCTTTTGGCCTGGTTTTAATTGGTTTTGGTCAAACGGTCTTCCAAGTGGTATAGCACTGGTCTGCCCATTTGCTGTACAGAGGTAACTAGTGATTCCTGTGATGTTAAAAACTGTGGCACTGATATGTCAAATGCGATAATGGTTATCCATGGTGGATAGTGTTTGGGGGAGCTTCCTGATTAAAACAAGCTAGGAAGCAGGAGTGGCATCCACTTCCACAATAGCTTGCCTCCAAAATTGCTTGCCTCTGGAAACTCTATGAACTTGGAGAAATGATGAAAGTTATGCAAGTGTTCAGGTCTTTCGTTCATAGGGTTACTTTGAGTTACCCAAGACCTGATGGCACTTAACAGCACAACAACAACGATGCTTTATAAAAAATACTACAATGGGTGCTTTTAACAAACAGAAACTTCTGTTTCTCACAGTTTAGGCAGCTAGAAGTCTGCAGTTAGGACACCAGCTCTAGAAGAGGCTTTAAGTCTCTGGCAGCTCTGGAGGATAGCTTCTGTTCCCCTGTGTCTATGATTATTTTTATGTGGTGTTACATCTATCACTCCCACCCCATTTCTGCTTGCTTGCTTGTTTGAGTGTTTGTTTACTTTATCTACTCTTTTATTTTTCAAAAGAGATTGGCTTAAAACACATGCTTCACTAATACTTCCTTATTAGCATAACAGAGGATTCTGATGGCCTAGTGAGTAAGGAGATGTGCTGCCAACCCAAAGGTAAACAGTTTGAAAAGGCAAGCTGCTCTGTGGGAACAAAAGGGGCAATCTCTTCACATATAATTTATAGCCTCTGAAAATTTGTCAGAGGTTAGCTATGAGTTCTTCCAACTCAAAAGCAATTAATTGAGTTTTATTAGTTAGTGACATAACAAAGAAAAGCCATCCCTAAATGAGATTATAATCATGAGTATATTGTACTTTATGTACCATAGAGACAGAATCAATTCATATCTAATCCTCCAACTGGTTTTCAGAGGCAGTAAATTATATAGGAGAATATTGCCTTCTAGTTGGTTGGGTGTTTTTGTGTATGGGTTTTTTTCTTTGGGGGGGGGTCCCTCCATGCAACCGGTGGATTTGAACAGCATAACTTTAGATTGACAGCAAAATCCTTGCCACTGAAGCTCCCAGAGCTCCCAGAAACCCTTATATCACATGTATAGGGATTTGATTTTCATCACATATTTTGAAACAAAAATCATTTCACCCCAGTCAAAATAGCAAAATTTAACAGAACAGCAAGCAACAAATGCTGGCGAGGTTGTGGAGAAACTGGAACCCTGATTCACT